GTTTCACTTGTGCATGTTGGGTGGACAAGATCACGTGCACAGATAAATAAACACCCACTAAAGGTGTGCATAAAGCATATGGTTAAACACATATTATGGCACATTGGTCTTACAGTAACAAACTATTTTCCTTTTTTAAGTACTAAATAATTGAGTATGTCCACAATAATCGTCGCTAGTAAAAGTCGCTTGTCAGTATTTTCCAAACTGATCCAATCCTCCTTCCAAAAACAGTTCCTATGAGTTGTTTTCTTAGGTTTAGGAAACAGAAATTATTTAGATCATGTTTGAGAAGGATGGTGGTGGTCATAATTAAAAGATTGCAACCTGTATCCTACCAACAGTCAAAGTTGCCAAGTGCCATCTCAAATATCAGAAACAATTTCCTGACCTCCTTTTAAGGTTTTTTGGTGCTATAACTACATGCTATTTCCACTGTTGCCTCTGAGAGACAACAGTCATCATTCACACATGCACGAGGGATCACTTGTTTGAAAAATGTATAATGCTGACAGCATATAACTTCACGCAGAAATAATATTCATAGTATTATTATTATCATTATCATTTATAATAATATTCACAAATGTGAGTAATAATGTTTATAAACCACTGTATATATTTTTTCATATTGTGATAGTTTATAATCTACAATATAATGTACATATATGATTTATTTGAATGAATGAAGCCTCTACTACTGATTTACTCTTTGTATAGCTCAATTTGTCTACACTTAAGATATATATATATATATATATATATATATACACATACATATATATACATACATACATATATATCTTCATTTGTGTACATTTTATTTAAAACCTAGTTTGTGTTTTAAAACCTTGAACTTCAAATGAATGCAGCTTTAATGAAAGAAGCACAAACAATTATTTTGTTAAATATAACATAAACAACATAAATATTAAATATAACAAGAAAAAGTATTTGTGTAGGAATTTTCAGTTATTTTACTAGAAGCTGTATTAAATATCTGCGAATGAAGACTTGCAGCAGCTTTTTAGAAATGAGAAGACACATGCATAAAAAATAATAATTGTTATGGCATGAATACACACTCAGGTGCCACACACAGAAACTTTTAGTATAAACGAAGCATGTTGGGAACTCAAGGGGCCGTGTCTGTCTGCTGAGGCAGCGGTTGCCAAGGTGTTTGATTAGCCTCGTAGCCCTGAGCGGCCTAATCAAACGGCTGTGGAGATAAATGGAGTAATTGGCAAATCATTGGCTCTTTCTCCCTCTGTGTTTCTGCTGTGACTCTCTCCGTACACCTGCTCCCAGTGGCTTTTTAGTGTTGTCACCACAACTGACTGAAGTGCTCTGAAAGACTGACTCCATTGCTAATTTTTCCTTGTTGCTTTTTCTTTCTGGTTCCGTCATTTGTGTCTCCAGAGGGCACAACTATGCACAATTTGTATGATTGGCTCGTGGATTGCAGTGGAGTCAAATGGATGATCATATGACAACACAGACCTTGTGGTGAGCCTGTTGTGTTAACAGCTGTTTCAAAGGTCAACAAAAAACTTTAAATCTCAGGTATGCACCTCCTTGGCAAGTGTGCATGTATCAGCTCACCAACTGCAGCGTTTTATTGTCCAAAATCATTTTGATTTAAGACAGCAATATATAGTCCAGAGCAAGATATCTCAACTACAGGCCAGGTTAAAATTTGGTCGATGTTCGGGATTCACGGAGAATGAGTCATCATGATTTTGATAACCCCCTGACTTTTTATCTAGCCCTAATGTCCCCATAAACACTTTGTCTAACAAATTATGTCAAAATCTACTGCCAAGATTTCCATTAAATTTGCTGTGCACATTCATGACCCCCACAGCATGAATCACAATGCTTTTGGTAACAGCCCGATTTTCCATTAGCACCCCAATCAGGATAAACTTTACAGCTTAAACCCCATTACTTATAAGGTTTTATATGCCCCCCATGAAAGTAAGGATCTAATTAACAACTGCTCCCCAGAGGATGAACTTTTTTGAGCTTTAGTCTAGTGTCACTCTCAGGACAAACCTGAAACCCCTTCTTAGTAAGGCTCAAATAATAGTTAGTAATAATAATGAAGTAAAAAATAAAAATGGTTGTTTGCTACTTGTTTGGTCCTGTTGGTTTTCTTTAAAGTTGCCCTCCCCTGATCTTTGTCTACGAAGACTTCCTTTTTTTTTTTCTTTTTCTTTTCTGTTTGTTCCAGATATTTTTCCAGTTTTAAGTTAGAAATCAAACACGACCAACAAATGTGGATGTCACGCAACAGCAATCACATCAGTGGATTGGGTAAACATAAGTTGTTCTGTTTACTGATGTCAGGACTTGTGGATATTAAAGTTTGACGCTGAGTCTAAATAGGCAGCGACAGGAGAATATTTGAATAGTTTTGACTTTGAAATAAATACTGCATGAAACAACAACTCCCTTCTATTAAACAACTCACAACGCTACCTGTCCTTACTAGTGCCTCACCGCCCTCCATCACCGCCCTCCGTCTGTGTCTTTCTCTGTTAAGAGGAGCACTTTGCTGAGGTGGGTGACAGTAATGAACTCTGACTCAGTGAGGCTGGAAAGGATGTAAATGAATGTAGATGAGGATGAAGAGTAATTGCTCACACAGAAGGCTCTGAAAGGTGTGTGTCAGAGAGAGAGACAGTGAGAGAAAAGTAAGAGAGAGAGAGAGAGAGAGAGAGAGAGATAGCACACCCATGGGAGCTCTTAAGTGGAAATGTGTGGCCCAGTCAAGAGGGAGAGACTTCAAATATCTGTTTATCTATTAATGAGACTGAATGGATGGATTGATGAACGGGTGGGCGGATGGATGAGTGATGGTGAATGATGGCAGATGGAAGTATAATGGTGAATGATGTTAAAGAGGAAACAGGAACAGGAGAAAGAAAACATGTTTATTTTAAGTAGGAGGGAGGAAATTAAGATATTGAAGAAATAAAGAATTGACGAGGGAATGAAGAAAAGGGATATGAGAAAATAAACCAGAAAATAAGATGAACTGAATTAAAAACATCACAACTTCAAAAAATGTGTGTGTGTTAGTTGGCTGCTGCTTAATATCTAGCAGATTCTATAATTTTTGATATCTTAACTATGTTCACTGCAAATAATTTTAGTTCCCTCCTAATTATCTTGTATGAGCGAGTGTACAAAATGTAAGAAAAAAGTGATGATTAAATCTGCCCTTGTGAAGCATGGTCAGCTGATTTCATTAAACCTAATTAATGTAGATAATTTCTTTCTAAGTCTGGAAAAAAAGTCTTTTATAGTATTTCTCATGTTTGGAAGCCCAAATTGTTGAAGAACAGAAACACATTTCAAGTTCGTTTTCCATGGTATCATTATTACCATTTATTTCTGTCTTACTGTAGCCGCAGCCTCTTGCCGCAACTATACTTACATACATACATACTCACAACTATTCTACTGGCTGAATTGGCTCAAGCAATTATTTGCATGATAAATAAGTTCCAGAGCTCAGAATCTGGAAATTCTGCATCAAAATTAGAGGGACATCAGTCAATGATGGCTGCTACCTTCTTTCTGACCTCATGACATATTAACTCAGCACAATTTTTTCATTAAAAACTCATGCTGTACAGAAAAACCTTGTCCAAAACTACATAATTTTATTTCAAATTCTATTGGAGATCCAATAAAGAAGATACAAAAGATACTAAGCTGAAGCTTTGTGGAAAAGTGTGTAAAAGGATTTACAAAATGATGCACAAAATATCTAGAATATTTGTATTTGATAGAGTGATTTGAATATTTGCTGAGTGTAAACATCATATAGCTTCAATGAAGAGCCAGGGCGTGATGTGTATATGATACTGTCAGACAGTGTTGGATAAATGGGTAATCACAAATATCTTATTTCTGACTTAAGGACTGTCAGACCCACACAAATATAGGATGCTCAGAATGTTCAAAAAGTTAGAGTTAGAGTTATTTTCCTGAATTAATTTAGCATAAATGTGTCAATAGCCTGTTACTCTGATGCTCTGGCGGCTGCTTTGAAGTCGTAAAGATCAAGTGTCTTAGTAAGTCAATGTATGCTGCTACATAATGCTAAATACTAAAATAAGGTACTTAATTATCCAAACGGCAGCTGTGATCAACTGTGTGCTGAGGGGCAACATTTATCCACGGGCCCTTTTTTGTTATTTAGAAGTGAAACTACTTTTTAGAGAGATTCTCAGCACGCTTTACTTGAGGTACAGTTTTCTATATAGACAATTCCATCCATCCTTACAGGAACACAGTGGACAAACAAGAGCCCTTGTGAACAACCCACTAATGCTGTATTCACAACTTGTTAAATTTTAGTGGTAACAAAACGCGATCACACAACAGTACTCTCACGTTGTAAACCAAGCATGTTCGGAGCTTCCCAAGTCAAAAATATGATGTCAAGAATTGCAGTTTTCTGACAGAAAGAAAAAGGATGTCAACAAAGCTTAAATCAGCCACTTCCCATCAGATTTTGCTGTGAATCAACAAGATGATCTTCACTCTTGAAGATTCACTGCTTTCATTGTATGCAGATGCCTTGTTTATGTTTGTATTCATGTTTTCACAGTGATCTAATTTTGCCTTCACTCTCTTCAGCTACGCCCCTCCGCTCTCACAGGAAATCATCTGTCGCAGTGGCAACTGAGAGGCTGACTGGCCGCTACAGTCAGAACAGCTCTGTCACTTCTTATCTCCTGTCATGAGCACAAAACTCATTTGTGTAAGGACTACATTCCTCCCGCGCGCCCGGGCCGTCGCCGCGTGATTGGAGGCTTTGTGGAGAAGAGTATGAGCTCTCCAACAACACTCTCTTCACCAAGCTTGAATTGAATATCGGTCAGTAAAAACAAAATGTCTTCTTTTATGACACCACCAACATTAGTACCCAAATGCAACTTCGGATCATGACAACTGGTTTCCATTCAGGTCAGCTGGTGACTCACCCATCACTCGGAGCCTCTCAGCGCCCACCACCACCTCCTGCTCGTCGGCAGAAAAGAGGAGCTTCCCAGTCGTGGATTTGACTTCAAACATCTTGCCTCGTGCTTTAAATCCATTGGATCCTAAACCGAACACACAGATAGAGAGGAGACATCAAAGAGGAGCGACTGGAGCTGATTTCTTACTGAATTACCTCCGTATTTGAACATTTTAAATGCATCCAAGTGGAAGACATTCAATGTGTCCTGCAGGACTGGCTAACTTGAGCAAAAGAATAGTAATCTTTGGCACCAAACCCCATCATATTGTTTCTGAATTTTGGCTACACTGCCTAATATTACAACTAAAGGTTATGGTTAAAGTATCATTACAGCCAAAGAAGACTGTAATGTGTGTGTCACCTAAATAAACCTTTACAGGTAATACACAGTACATCCATTAAAGCTTTTTTGTTGGACAGTAAAGATTAGGGTCCTGAAAGCCAAAACAATGAGCTAATGGCACACTTTTACTTTGCTGGTACAGTGTACAGCTCATCTCATGCAACCACATTTTAACAGCTAGCTACATTAGCAACACATGCAAAGCAAAGTTTGGGTAGTTGTTTCAGGTTTTAGATGGTGTATTCCTTGAAATTATTGAAATATTTCTTGTTACTGCTTTATTAGTTGGTATACATTACTGACCTTGATATTTTCTTATAATAAAAACAACTTCAAGGCTCAAGTGTCAGGTCCTTTTATGATAGCATTGTGTGGTAATACAATGTACTGTACATGTTTCAAAGTAAATATTACTAAAGAGACTTATTTTGTAAAGTACAGTGTGTCCATCAACGTAACTGTCTATTGACAGCTTGTTTAAAGCAGGATGTGCAGGTTTATCTCTGACAAAACGGCATCCTGCTCTGAAAAACGGCAGCACAGTGAACGTTTTGTGCACAAATTGAAACTTTAATAATTAAAATCTGATGGCAGTCAATACTTCTGAAAAGCCCAATCGATAAAAACATTGAAAGGAATAGAGTAAGGAAGCAAAAACTTTGAATGGTTTGCGATGACACTTTTAGAGACAATTTACTCCAGATGTGACGTGTTGGTGCCCGAGGTTTCCACCACGACATAAGTGTAAAAAACACATATCACTGAAGGTCTGCTAGAAACTTGAGAAAATACTCAGACTCAAGCTTCCAAAAGTGTGAATGGTGTCATGACAAACTAAAAATGTAAACTCCCTCCAACTCAAATTGCTTTGTCTCATGTGGCGGCAGAAAACACTTGGCGTTGGGGGTGACTGATTGACACGCGCGCAATTGATTCTGTCACTCTCCATCTGGGATGTGAAGTTCCTCCCCATAAACGAACGCCGCTTAGTCATCCAAGAGAAACATCCGAGCAGACTTCGTCTTCCTCCTCTTCAGACCCAGAAGGCAAATGTCAGTGCACTTTTTAAACGTGAGAGACACTTCCTGTGCATGTTTACACAAAGTGATTTCCATTCACAGAAGACTGCCAACTCTATTAGAGTGTGACAGGCGGAGAATGGGCGAATGTAAAGAAGAAAGTGCGATCACAGAGTTATGGCGGAGCGACTAAGGCCTTTGCTGGCACTGTTAAGGGGAACAGAGGAAGAATTTATGATGTGCAAATGTTTAATCCTGGAAATGAAGCAATGACTCCTGACAGTTAGAGCTCTGATCCCTAACCTGAGAGTATCGACTCCCCAAAGGGTCCCTAAGATAAATCTAAAATTGCCAAATGAAAGGAAATAACAGATCTGCTACAAAAAAAATGTTATTTTCCCTGACTTTCCCCTAATCTTGTGTTAATTGAAATACTTCATAGTCATTGTCAGGACTCAAATAAAACAATCTGTAAAGGGAAAACCATGTTCATGGATCCCAATAACTGTTCAAAGGATCATCATACATAAAAGCAAAAAAGCATATAAAAAAGCATAACAGGCAGAAATTGTTTTCAGGCAAAAAAAAAAGAATCTTTCTTGTGTAGTGGAACATATACAAATTCTATATGTTGTGCATTTGTTGCAGCTGATGTCGTCAGTTTTCTCAGTTTTGATGTTTTTGAATAAAAACATGTATCATATCAAAAGAAAACATCAATAAACTACATGAAAGCAGTTTGTGTCTCTCCTGCAGTGTCTTACCGGTTACGAGTTGCGTGAGCAGCTGGTTGTTGCTGTTGACGATATTGACCGACACGTTTCTGGATGACTGCAGGAACAGCGGGCGGCCCTGCGAAGAGACAAGGTAATTTATTTAGCCTGTGGTGCAATGGTAATTAAACTACAAACTATGAGTTCTTAAGACCAATTGAAGACAAAACATCAGATATAGTCTTTTTTTATTAACACAACTGACTGAATTGGATTTGAAGTTTGGTTCAAACATTCACTTTCTCCTTAGGATCCTTTTACCTTTAGCACCAACATCAGGTCAGAATTTCAATGTGACCAAATCCCTGCAAAACTAATCATATTCCCAATAACCCTCGCTGTACTCTGCGTAAATTAGTAAATGTAAACATGCTAAATAAAGACAATGACCATGGTATACTTGCTTAACATCAGAATGTTAGCATTGTCGTTGAGATCATGTTGTCATTGTCATGCTCAAAGCACTGCTGTGTATGTATAGCCTTACAGAGCAGAACTGTGATTTGGTCTTGGTTTTCTTTGTTATATTATGATCACCTGACTGGCACACACCTGTAGTGACTTTGGGGCATATGCACACACAAAGGAACAGGAAGTGTATAACTTCACACTTAAAAACACACCAGAACTGTCCGAGCGCAGAGACTTCAACCTCCTGCTCTGTTTGATAACTTCCATTTCCCAGAGTGCCCTGTAAGTTACCTCTGTAATGCTGATCACGTCGGACACTCTGCTCTTTCTGTGCCCGACTAATCTTCATGCCTCAGTCAACTTCTTAATTAGAGATAACGGCCTGACCATTGTGCTGCGCTCGCAGCCGCGGAGGGGATATGCCCTGTGTGTATATTACAGATAACATTATGGCTCTTGCCAAACTTATTGAAGTTCTCACAGTAAATACACCAAATGTATGATATGCAAGCAAGAAGTTATTACAATAACAATGTGGCGTGAACTGAATGTAAAACTAACAAAAAGTTTGAAATACGCATGAAAAGGAGTTACAGCGCTGATAATTAGATTAAAATTAACTGTGGAGGCGTTTGAGCATTTCAGGTTGACAAGTACACTCCATCTTTTAAAAGGTACTCAGGTTGAGGTGTGGGAAAAAAATACAACTAGTTTGACTTTGAATTATATTAACATCAAAACATTTTTTGTTTATTTATTACATTGAACATTAAAAATTCCCTCCAGACATTTTAAGACATATACATAGTCTGCTTGGAACAATAATGTGCGTATGTTTTTTTGTGAAAAAAAAAGTATAATCAATAAAGTATAAAATTTCCATATTAAAATCTTTAAAAAAGGCAACTACTCCTTTTACATCATTAACAATTCCAGAATCGATTATGCAAATTTTGTTTATTTCTAAAGTTTTCTTGCTGGACAAGATGTATTCTAATACCACTCTAAAGACCATTCTCAGTGTTTGTGCCCTTGTGGCATACTGGATCAATCCCTTCAAGGCTTTTAAAAGTAGAATGTGTTCTGTAAAGTTTAGGTGGCTGTCAATCACAGTTCCCAATTTCCAGTCTAACTTAGTGATTGTTCAATGTTACTGGCTAAGAGAAGATTTTTAGTTTTACTTACATTTATTTCAAGCACACTGTCTCACACCAGTGCACAAACACACAGAGCCCAGCTTTTATGAGTGCTCTTGAGTAACAGAGTTGCTAAAAGCCCAACTGGGATCCAACTAAAACTTCCTAACAAAACTGTAGTTTAGGACCAGAAATCAAAAAAACGAGTGCAACTGTACAGGGACTGAAAAGCTGCCCAAACACACAACACAAGACAGAATAACACAGAGGAACTGACCGTGTGCTCAGACAAACTGAGTCTTTGTAAAAGCTCAGCACAGCTGAAGGCAGTAAGTGTGAGCAGTGACTCCTCAGCATAGTGACGCACTGCCACACATGCAGAAACACACACTTTACTCATATGTAACAACGGTCTCATAATTCTTTTTGTTTCTCTTTTGTTAAAAGAAAATAAGACTTAATAATCTTGTTCCATACGCTGTGCAATAACAGCTATGTAATAGGTTGCATGTCCCACTGTACGAGATGCATGATACGTTTATATTTTGATTTCAGATTATAAGATAAATTCCTGGTGAATGTTTATATTGTTGCAGTTTTTTTCTAAATGATCTTTAAAATGGTGCTTATCCAAAATGGAATCTATGTGTATACTCACGACCAAAGATTTCACCACATTTCTCTCACAACAGACCTATTTTTGCAGCAGGCACTTTGACATGAAATAGTAGGGTGACCCTAATTAAGGTTGCGTTGCATTAAGGTCAAACAGAGTCAGGGTGCTGCTATTGTTGACATGTTGACTCACTGGAAAGCTCTACTACATTAAATGGAATAAACATGAATTAGTATAATTGGTAATACCTATTATTGACCTACTATTTCAATTCAGAATGGCTGCTGTGAAAAAGGCCCGTTGTTAACTTTTGCCTGCAACAGTCAACCTTTAGTTCAAAGCACTGTGCCTCAGTGTGCTGCACTGCTAACTCATTAACTCTTATGACCTGCAGCTGTGCTGAGATCAATAGCAGACAAAAGATGGAAAACATGAAAAATACATCTAATCTGTCAACAAAGCAGTATACAAGGAGTAGAACAGTATCAGTCAGTCCATTAATTCTTTCATTGGTGTATTCATTCATCCACTTTAACTGGTTCTTTCAATGCCAACAAACAGTGGTTCTACTCCGATAAGGCTTATTTGCAACAGTAACATTGAGAGAGAAACTTACTGCCCTCTGCATTGCATTTTTTTTCTCATTCTGAATGGTTGGATGAATTTGTAATCCATACTAGTGGAAAACCTGACAGTCTGTGGTATGCTAATAAAGACAGAACAATGCTAGAGCTTAAAAACCACACCCACATAGTACAGTGTGCCATGTTTCATAGCAGCCAGCTTATCGTTCCATTTCTCTGCACAGTTTTTTTTCCTGCTATAGCCTCTTGAAATGCCTTAGAGAGGCTACTGCAGGAGTCCTTTGAGGCTGGTTGTCTACAGTACATGTGTTCAGTTTGTTGTTGTGTGGTGCCTCTGATCCACACGTTCCCCCTCCTCTCTTCGTTACTAATGCAATAGACCATATTACTCCCAGCAGGATGCCTCTCACACAGAGAGAAATAAGCAGAGAAAAAAAGAGAGACGACTTAGATAGATACTTAGATAGATAGATATATATATATAGATACTTAGACGAAAGACGTGGATTGGAGTTGGTTATCGAAATATTTCTTGGAGGCAGAGCTGCTCTAAAGGCTACGAAAAAATTCAGTGGTTGAATTAAACCACAGTAAGCTGAGCCAAAGGACCAATTTTAGGGAGCAATACAGTGGTTCTTTCAGAAATTCAACCTGGTATTATCAAAGAAGATCTACAGTTTAGTGCCCAGACTCACTTTGTTGAAGAACACACAAATATAGTAGCAAAATGTCAAGACGGATCAGGCTGTGTTAGTGTTAGATGGTTAGTTGATTAATCAATAATTTATCAAGTAAAAACATGTACTGCTATCAGTTACTGTATATAATATATAGTGCAACATAAGCTTTCATTTGATTTCATGTTTCTGGCAACTTGACTAATAAAAGTCTAATATTCAAGCCCATTTTAAAACATTCAGCAAAGAGCCACAGACTGGAATCGTATCCCGGGTTGCTGCGGTAAGGACATGGAGCACATGCTCTAACAGACTCTTCTGTCACTATTGTGATAACAATGTCTTAATTCACTCGAACTAAACAATGTCAAAAGACAGAGGCTTAAACAACAAAAGACAGGAGACAGAAGATAATTGGACAGAAGACTAAATAGGAACGAGACCAGTGCAGGAAATATTGAGCAATGCATAGAGACCAGAATGCAATAATGTTAACAGAGGAATAACTGCAAGACATAGCAGGGGTCTTTCTTTTGTTATTATTTTTTCATCTGTCTCTCTATCTTCTCGTGGACTGACCAATTGTCTTTTCCCTTCACCTCTTCTTTAAACCACACCCTCTGCTGAAGCTACCCATCTATCTCTCATCCCTCTCCCTCTGCTCTTCAAAATATAAGAAGAAATGCTTTACACTTTCCATACTGGTTTTATACTACATACTACACTTTTACATACCACCATTTGTTTCTTCATTGTGCTAAAAATCCTGGCTTAATCAGCCTGTATTTATCTTGTTGATGATAGATGTTCATATGTTTGCTTGCACCAACCAAATCTGCCAAATGAATGCACCAGAGATCTGCAGTGATTCATAGCTGCTTCGGGTATATCAGTTGGTGAAACTGGAACTTCATTGTTACATGAATATTTTACCGAACCATAATATCATACTGTGAACATGTTGTGGTTGTTTGAGTCAGTGTTGAACTTGGCCGCCTCCCGCGTGTCGCTGCCTGTCAAAACATGCTCGCTGGCTTCCCATCCTCTCATTCTAATTCAGTCCTCCTCCATCTGTCTCCCCGTTTCTGTCTCTATTACTACTTCTTCTCCTTCTCTCTCCCATTCCTCATTTCCATCTCCATCCTAACTCTGCTCTCTTTTGCTACCTCACTCACTTATGTTCCTCCATGCTCTCCCGTCTCCATCTCCATTGCTCATCCTCCCTCTCAGCTTGCGTAAGGTCCTAGACAGCAGAGATAAAGCGCGCTGCTCTCTTGCATTATCAAGCCATCCATCCACTAACTGCACACAGCTATTATTACTGCCAGAGTAGAAGAGACAGAGGGAGAGAGTGTCTATCACGTTATCGTGCCCATCTCTCCATTTCTCTGACATCTCTAGGCTTGAATACAGCAGGAAGCACATCAGAATGTTAATTTCGTAAACAGAACATGGGCTACCAAGGGACCTCAGACAGACTTTGCATTGCAATCTGTAAACACCAAAGATTTCCTGCAAGAAAACTGATGCTGGAGCTGTGGCTCTGTGCAGCACGCTGGAGAGAGCATGTTGCCAACACTGCCAAGGTTGTTGCATGCGTTTGTTTCCCCATCAACACCACCTGGTCTGAAACAGGTGCACTGATGGAGCCATATGGTGCTTGTCATGATGTTGTGTCATATTTTTTTGAAGACATTACATGACAAGTCTTGACTGGTTATGACATGAGATGACGGGTAACTCATGACTGATCTGGTCTTAAATCAGTCACACTGACGTGAGATGACTACTTCGGGAGGTCTGCTTCACCATTTTATAATTAATACCAAAATAATATCAGGCAATTTGCAGATAAAAATCTCTAACTGATTTTGAGCTCTTCAGCTAACAGCCTGGGTTCATTCCAAAGACCCTGCCTTTGCTCCTGATTTACTGGTCACTGTTCATTCAAGCTTTATGGTCACAATCTTTGGGTAATGACCCTATGAACAGAATTGCAGGCATGAGTAGTTAAAATTAATCTTTTTGGCAAGGGATCTTGGCCTTTGGGGCAAGGTGTGGCGCTAGGACCACAGCTTAGATCACAACTACTGCTCTCTCTGCTTGAAAGAATCACCTTCCTGTGGAGGTTTTGTGATAGGAGATACATTGGCAGACCCACAGCACACTAGACGGACTACATATCCTATCTGACCTGCGGATGCTTTAGGATCCCCCAGGAGGAGTGGGTGGAGAATAGTACATTGGGGCTTCTCGGCTTGGTCTGATGACACTACAACCTGACCCAAATGTGTAGCAGGAAATGGATGGGTGATTTTCAGCTACCTTTGTGAGAATGTGTAGTATAGTGTCTTTCCTTCCACAGAATCTGCATTAGGGTGGCCCGGAAAAGCCTCACTAGTACAATTTAAGCTCTGTAAGAGCAACATTAGGACACATTGTGAATGCAATTGGAGTGGAAGAACTTGTAGTTTGATACTTGTATGAGTCCCAACAGGATTGTCACACTTGCTTTTTCAACAGTGTACCTAAGATGTAGGCTTCAGGACTGAAAGTCACATTCACTGTCATTAGACACTTAACATCATTGCACCCTCTCACCTCATATTGAGTTTTGTCATTCATGCAGTGTTACACAACACAGTCTTTTGCAACTGTGGCTAATCGGTACATGAGAATTTTTTTTTTTTTTTCCTAGCAAGGAATTTACACATATTGAGGTAACAAAGGCAGGTTTGCATTAATGTGGGAAATGCTATATGGCACCCATTAATGTAAGTATTGCCTATGCTGATTATTCCAGGAATAAGGTGTCATGGTTCTGTATAATTCACATGATGTTTTCCCTACAGAAAATACATAGAAGGTATTGAGCTTAGCATTGTTAGCATGGATGGCGTAGCCGCCTACAAATACTTAGCTAGTGGAGACAGAAAATCCCCAAATAACTTTTGAGTTTGATATTAAACTTTAAAGTGTGTCTGTTTAAAATGAATATAGTGAGAGTGTTTTTTTGTGTAAAACTTACTGGTTTGGATTGGATTTCTTTGGCATAAAGGGGTTGGAGGAACTCAGAGTCCCCTTCCAGTTTCAGGCCCTTCTCTGTTATTCTGAGATTGCCCATGCCATCCTGTGAGGAACAAAGACACAGTCACGATTAGTTCATATTCTCTTCTCCCATTTTTAGAGCAAGTATATATCAGCCATGACTTCCATGACTTTTATTGTATGATCCACAAACCACCAGTCAGTATCTGCCTTGATTGTATCAAATATATATGTTTCCAAAGGCAAGAACTGACCAATTAAACAGGCATACAACAAGGTACAGGCTCTAGGCAGGTAATGTTATTTAGGGTTTCTCTTTCTTCTTTGTTAAATTTTTTGCTATCGTCATGTCAGTACAGCACTTGTGGGCATGCCAAGACTCGTCATAGTATTCTAGTCATGTATTTTCTGCTAATATGGTGCACAGCCATGAACATGAATTGCTGGCTGTATTCAACACCTGCCATTTTAATTTTCTGACACCTGCAGTTTGATCACAAGCACCTGTTATTTATCTATGTGACAAAATAGCTGTGTGGGGAAAAATTAAACTTACTATCACACCCGCCTGATGCTATGAGGATAGATGTTATTTTGTTACACACTCACGGATTATCAGGTACAAACTCTGAACACTGTACATGCACCATATTAGACTGGTTAAACTGTCTCCCTAATTGATCAGTGGCCTTAATCTCTTTTAATCTTTTTTAATGCAGTGATATTGGATGATACTTGACTTTAGCAATAGTATTACAAATGGATCTATTGGCAAAAATGCCGCACAAATTGCGTACATAAACAGAACCTAGACTCATACTATTTTCGTATTATCAAATACATGACAATTTGTTGTTCATAATTTAAAAATTGAACAATGCACTGTGTATTAAAGTGCAAAGGAGGATGTGATGTGTACATAATGTTTAATGTCAACTTTACAAAACTTCATATCATCCACTTCTAAATAAGTTCTTTCACCTGACTGACTGACCTGACTCAGACCCATTATGGTAAAAAACAACTTACTTATAACTTCAACAAGAAATTCGCCTTAGCCTGAATAAAAAATGCCCCCTTCACTAATTCCGAGCGAACACTGTATTTTGTTTTAGTCTTGTTTACTTGCTCAGACAGGGGCCCGAAGGATACATTTAGTTTCTCTCTCTGGAAGCCAAGCTCATTTAAACACGGCAAAAGACCAAATGCGTATGCATGCTGTAAATTAAGTGAAGTATTTTTAGGTGGCAGCAGGCATAGAATATTATTTCATAAAACTGAGTAAACAAATTAGCGTAGCAGCAACCCAGGGGCTAGAAAAGTGCATTTGTGACAAGTCATTGGTCACTGAATGAAATGCTACATCAGAAGCAAAGAGTAAATTAGACATGTTACCTCGCCAAATACAGTCAAGGTATTATATTTTGCTGTATATATTGTTGTTGCCTTTTTCTCCCCAAATCTTATAAAAACGAAAGAATGCAGTGCAGAATCTTGTCAGTCAAAAGTATAGCAGCAGTGTTCCAGATGCATCGTCTGAGTCTGTATACCAGAACAGCAACAGACCAAAGGATATTAACCAGTGATGATAAGAGGAGATTCGGCGAGAGGAGACTGGCTCAGGGGCTGCTTTGATTCAAACACAACCAGCAAGACTGACCCTTCACTTTCCATCCAGTCATTATATATATTATATGAAATCACCCGCTGGATTGTTTCAAAGATAAGAGACGTCAGAGCAATAGAAGAGTAAGAAAGACAGAGAAAAAAGCCAGTTATCTGCCCATGTGATCTTCTCCTGCAAAGACTTTTTTGTTTCCCCGCCGTCTTTTGATCCCTCAGGTTCTGACGAGCAAATGGAGATCAAGACCTCTTGAAATCCCAAAGCTACTGAGGACGGTTTTCAAGCCTCCTCCATGTAATCCTTCCCCCCACTGTGTAAAACATATTAACATTCTAGCACTGTTGTGGCAACGGGGGGTTCAGTCCTGGACGTGTTGTGATTGCAAATTATCCCAAGGTGGATATCTGTGCGCCCCACGGAGAAGGCCGGCAAACATGATTTAAACTCAATTTCCGAAACTTTGAATGGCAAAAATCAACTGTAAGAAAGGAGACATATATTTCACCTTCTTGGAGATCCCCAAAAGAATATTCTTAACAGGTTCTTACAGATATATTGATTTCTATCCAAGATACCCACAGATTCATGTACCCACTGGCTAGTTCATATCTTGGTCTGGATGATTGCAGAGGATGCATAATAGTTGAAAAGTAATGTTATGCTCCAGTACGTATATCTGCCTCTCCATTTCCATTTCAACACTTTTTTTCTCTGTGAAAATAAGTCGTACTATACACTTACAAAGAACATAATTTCAGAAATTCAACTCATGTGGACACTCAAAATACTTTCCTGAATTAGTTATATTTCAGAAAGAAATAACTGACAGCACTGCTAGTTTTAAAACAGAATAATAAGGCTGTATTAAGGGAGATATTTAAGTTATTTCACTTTTAACAGAAATCTTCTAACCAAATGGGTTCCATTGTGGAGGTCCTGCAGAGAACTGCAAATAACTGTGAATGCACGGTAGGATGAGGAAAACAAGGAAATCTAAGAAAAATTACTGTGAAAAATGTGACGGCCAGAAACGAAAATCCATTTAGGATAACACTGCTTATAAGGAGTTTAATACATTTCTGAGAAATGGTGGTGCATTTGATACTATTTCCCCACACTCAGTTGGTTTGGAAACTGGGAATTCTCTATGTGTTTTTCCATTTCTCCATCCATCCTTATTACTGCAACATACTCAATAACTCCTTCAGTAACTGCATAAATGCTGACACAAACTTGATTTCAGAAGCAGTGCTTGTACAGTACTAGTAGCTATAAAGAGAATTAGTGAGAGATACTTAGGTGAAGAGTGTGTGGGTGCATTTGAAATTTAAACAAAGAAAGAAAGAAAGAAGACTGAGAGACTTAGTTTAACTGCCTCAGCACCACAAAGACAGACACAAACAGAGCCAGGTCTGACTGTTTCAGCACCATGGAGAGAGACATTGCATTTTATGAGTGAGAGTGAAATTCCTGCACTATATAGTGTCCTCAAAAATCCCTGTAATGGAACAAAAAAAGTAGTACTTTGGTCTTACAATCCCACAATGCATACTTTTTTATTTATATGTCAAATTATCATTCCTGCAACACTACACCTGATGATGATTCATAGGTGGCCACAGTGCAAATTTACTGCTCACTGTGGAGTAAACTACTGAGCGTTGTTTAAATAAGGACTAGTGAATCGGTGAACAGGGCAGTGATTTTGGACACAGCCTTAGTTTGACTTTTTTAAGGCCATGGAGAGAGCCATAAAGAGACTCGGCTTGACTGTTTTAGCACCATGGAGAGACATCGAAGACAAACTGGGTGTGACTGCATTATCGCCATGGAGAGAGACACATATAGAGACTTGGCTAGCACTATGGACAAAGAGACATATAAGGCTTTTCCATAGTAGTGGAAGTAGTCACTCTGCACCATACCGGTAATGGCCACAAGCAGTTGAACAATGCTGGCACCGTACAGCAAGGCAAAGTTGTCTACCTTGATGTGTTGGTCACAAACCACAGTAAGCGCCTATTGCCTGCAGCCTTTTTCAGCTCACTGTGGCTGTTTCTGTTTACAATATTCCTCCTGTAATATTTAAAAAGCATCTTGCTAGTTTGGTGGTGGAAAGTGTTTAATGTCAAGCAGCGACAGCAGGAAAGGTTTGCATTAGTAGTAACTTAACACAGCTGGAAGTAAACAGAACTATCTGAAAGTACAACCTGAAACAAAATTTGAAACCACAGAGATTCAGGTAGAAGCTACACACATACTGGGTGCAAAGAGAGCTTTCTCTCTTGGGTCTCCAGACTGTCACAGGTTAAACCACCAAACTAAGTGTCTGATTTATAAGGAGTATTGAATGAGTGAATTGTCTCAGTCAACCTCCAGCCACCACAGGCAGAAAGAGTGACAATGAGACACAAAGACTTTAGTTCTAACTCTTATAACATTTTCTTTTATTATCTGAATGTTTTTCAGAATCTTTCCAATGAAATTAAAGTTAGGGAGAAGTCCTTTGTGGGAACAAGATGAGAACTAAGAATATAGGATAACAGTAGTGGGTGGCAGAACACTGTTCATTGAGTTTGACTGTATCCAGCTGCAACCGTCAGTCAAATCACAGCTTTCATCTTACTGAAAAACTGCAATTAGACTTGACTCAAAACATTGAGCACAGCTGCACTGTTTGCAGTTTCTTTTCTAGTCAAAATGCTTTTTTTCTTTCGTTTTATTCTCTGCAGTGAGTTGTGTGCTCTAGCCGGCACAGCAAAGCGAGGTGAGCCGTTATGAATAATTCAGGACCACTCTTACCGGGACAGAGGCCTCTGAACGCAGGTGTGCCTCCTTACCTCTCTTCTACCCTTTCCTGTCCTCTGTTCCTCTACCTCCTTTCCTCTTCTTCACCCGCTGCCTTTCATCTCCCTAAAATTCTCAACCTTGTTCGGCCCCCTTGCTGATCATCCTGTTTGTCAGTTTTAGGTTCTTCCTTCCCCATCTCTTCCCTTTTTTTCCGTCTCTTTCTGTCTTCCCTCATTTTTCCCCCCCTACATGTCTTCACCTACTTCTCAGTCCCTCTTTTTTGCCACCTGTTTCCTTCCCATCTTTCTCTTCATCTCCATCCCCCCTTTCCACCCCTTTCTCGGCCATCTCAGTTCAACTGACAAATAACACTGTGACATGATTCAGATGGTAGCCATTACTGTGACAATAATAGTGAAAACATTTCAATAACATTACTCAGTCACTAAGACAAATGCATCATCCATTTTTTATTCTCAAGTGTGGCAGAATCCACTGATGTTTGTTCTCAAGTCATATACACTGATGTACATCAAAAACTATTAGCCACATTGCAATTCAATTTTAAAAAAACACAATATTTATGACACTCTTTTTGACAATCTGAACTCCCACCATTAGACCATCTCCCTTCAGTCGACCAGTATCCAATAAATATGCTGTGAATA